TATTTTTATATTTATATTATAATCCTTGCTATAATCTATTTTTATATTTACCTCCTTGCTTTGTAGGCCTTGTGGGATATTCCGATTGGTTTTGTATTAAATTAGGTGATGTCTTTGGTTTTAATGGTGATTTCAATGTAGTAGGCATTCTGTGTGTTCGATAATAATCTGCAGTCCTTCCTTGCTAATTGAAATTCAATAAAATTGTAAAATGTGAATTAAAAAAAATTTTCCTTTTTGTTAGTAGTTATAGTGAGTTATATCTAAAAGAAAATTTATTCATAAATATCATATTTAGATACAGTAAGAAATCATTATTGTAAAAATTTTATAATTTCAAATTTTTAGAAATAGATTTTCATTAGTCTAACTATTTAAAAACTAATGTATTTTTAATTAAAAAAAATAATGTAAATCAAAATTATTATTGTAATTTTATTGATATCAATAGATAATAGTAAACTTTCTTGAAAAGATACATTATAATATCTATGAAATCATAATGTTATGCTGGAAAATTTATCAGTGTATTTTAAGAGCAATGGTTCTTAACCAGTGTTCCACAAACAATGCTGAATGTTTGTATGAAAAAGTTTTTATTGCAAATGTATTATAATTTACTACAACATACTATTTCATTCATAGACAATTCCACATTTCTGTTTTATTCAATATAATAAAATTTATTAGTTTATTGCTTTATTGTTTTGTGAGAACAGTACATTGAATTGCTTATTGATTTTTGAATATATTTATGCTAATGCTTTGCATAATAAAAATGTATGTGAATGATGTTCTGTGGCTTCAGAAAGGTCAAGAACCACTGTTTTAGAGTATGATATTGATTAAAATTAAACTAAGTAATTTCTGCATTTATTGTAATAAACAGCCTTCTGACTGTAATATTTTATATCTTGCAGCTGTGCTGTTTATTAGTGTGTTCTTACTATTAAAAGGACTGTAATTTCTGTTTTTGATAATTGGGTGTGACTATTGTTCAGGACAACTGTTAATGAAATAAAGTGGGTAATTTTTTAAATATTACTTTACTAATAAATCATTGAACACCTGATGCTGAGAAAAACCGTTTATTATAGAAACATTAACATTTTTGACTTAATATGATAGGCCATCTTCAGATGCAAGTATTCTTGAACATATTTAACTTAATATTTTTTTTATTTAAAATATTATTGAGTTAAATATGTTCAAGAATATTTTTTTTATTTAAAATATTAAGTTAAATACATTCGAGAATACTTGCATTTGAAGATGGCCTATCATATTAGGTCAAAACTGTTAATGTTTCTATAATAAATAGTTTTCTCAGCATCAGGTGTTCAACAATTTATTATTTAAGGATCTGAGTAAGATATTTGATTACTTTATTATTATTATTTAATGTAACACTTGACACACACACACACACACACACATAATTATATTATTTCAACATAAGTAAGAGTGACAATGTTGAATAGAATGTGCAATTTTTCAGTTTACAGTACTATAGCTTACTATAACTTTTTCATTTTGTAGCTGCATTGTTTGATAGAATAAATATGATATTACATTAATTAAAAAATTGGATTTTTAAAAAGTAATACAGAGAGGTTAGAATTAAAATAGTTAAATTGTAATTACTTAATTAAAAAGGTTGTATGACTGTTATTTTAAATTATAGTTAATTTTGAAAATAAGTTCTAAGTCTAATAGGATAAATAAAATAAAATAAAATAAAAAATCATTCAAAAGTCCAGCATAATTCTTTAATAACATAAGAATGTTTTCAAACGCATTAAGCGTCCATCAGTTATTTTTCTAAAATCGAATGAGAAATTTGAAAAATTACACAAATGAATTTCAAATAAATGGATATATAATAAATATTAATAAGTAACATGTTATTAATAAAAGCATTACATACAAAAAAATTTGGTATGTTTAAAATAATAAATAAATAAATAAATTATCTATCAAGGGTCAACTTAAGCTTAATTAAGCCTTTATATAGAACTAAGCCAATTTGTCACAAAAAAATTTCCAAGTGGACGAAAGCCCATCAGCATCTCTGTAGTTAATGCACTGTGTGCTCTTCTGTGTCTTGTGTATTTCCAATTTTTCCAATCCACAAGGCACAGAAGAGCACGCAGTGCATTAACTACAGAGATGCTGATGGGCTTTCGTCTGCTTGGAAATTTTTTTGTGACAATATGGCTTAGTTCTATATGAAGGCTTAATTAAGCTTTAGTTGACCCTTGATAGATTATTTATTTATTTATTATTTTAAACATACCAAATTTTTTTGTATGTAATGCTTTTATTAATAACGTGTTACTTATTAATATTTATTATATATCCATTTATTTGAAATTCGTTTGCGTAATTTTTCAAATTTCTCATTCAATTTTAGAGAAATAACTGATGATGGACGCTTAATGCATTCAAAAACGTTCTTATGTTATTAAAGAATTATGCTGGACTTTTGAATGGTTTTTTATTTTATTGAATTTAGTATTCAGTAAGCAAGTATACTTTTATTGATAAATTAAATATTATGATATATGTAATTTCAAATATTTTAAGTAATGTCTTTGTTTTTTAGTTCATCTTTAATTATATCACATCAAATATGACTTGATATAACTAAGCTTAGAACAATTTCTAAAGATTTGAAAATATTTTTATGCTCAATTATAAATATAAAAACTAAATAAATATTGATTTTTGATATACAGTAATACCACAAGTTATATAAGTAATGCGGATCATATATTTTGAACTAATTGGAGAGAGATTTTTGTAGTAATGCGGATCATAGACTTTTATATAACTTGAATTTTACGTAAGTCAATTTGTAAATTGCTTAAGTGTAACTACATACAGTAATTAATAATTCAATACTGTATTTATTATTATATGTGTACTGTACTGTATATATATTATTTATTATTTTTTTGTGTAAAAGAAAAATAAAAATACAAAGTACATATGTAAACAAAACAAAGAAAGAAACAAAAATAATCTGAAATATTAATAGGTTATGTATTAAACAAATCACTCGAGGCAAACTACTGTACACTAATGACATGAAACAATGCATATAGAAAAACAAGCAATGAAGATGTGCTTGGTTTCATTGCTCGATTTTCACTGAGTACTGTATAGAATCTTGTTTATGAGAAAGAGTGCCCAGTACGCTTGCATATGTGTTCACAATTACACCATAAGGATTAGCAGAGCAATAAAGTAATAAATTGGTACAGTGTGAAAGAAAGAAAGGAAAATAGAGAGAGAAGGAATGAATGAATGTTTGAAATAGAATAATTCTTTGTAAAATTACATGTTACTCTACTCAGATTTTTTTCCAATTTTTGAGATTTACATTTTATGTAACTGCAAATTTATGTAAGTTGCATGTTACATAACATGGGGTATTACTGTNAATATACTGAATTATTTATATTGTTATATTGACCAAATAATAATTTATGGGCCAAATGAATAATAAAAATTTATATTGTTAATTTAAATAAGAATTAAAATTGTTAATTTGAATGTTTGAAATATGACACACGATAGGGGCGCCTCTAGTGTCCGTTATCAAATGGTTACGGGACAGACACCCGTTGAATGGGTTATATATATAGATAATCTGACACTATCAGGAGGAGAGATATTCTGGATTATGGAATTTTTCAGACTTAGTCATTCAGACATTATTAGCTTTATTGATAAATTAATAAAATTCATTTATAAACATGATTGAAATTATCAAATTATTTTGTCTGAGTATAATACTAACTATAGTACTGTGTTAAAACTTTATGAAATGTTTATATAAAATATGTAATCATTGCAAATTCTGCACTCATTATGGATTGGATATAAAGTAGGAAAGTAACAAACATCCACATTTTCAGATGCTGGTATGAATTCACCACCTGAATTAAACATAAATATTTACTTTGGAATGTTTAAAAATCATCATTATGTATAGATTTTTAGATTTCTCAAAATTATAAGTTTTGTAAATATATTCAAATGGAAAAAAAGTATAATTAATTAGCAAGAATTCTTCCAAATTAATTTCAGATATTAAAAATATAAAAGTGCAAAATTAAAATTTGCAAAGACTACAAATTTTTAAATTTTAAAAATGTAAAATAAGAAATAAAGGATTTAATTATAATTTTTTGTCATTGAGTTGACTGTGTCTGAATGAAATAAAAAAACTGGAGACTTAAAACCTATAAGCTAAATAATCATTGCATGCAGGAATTCAATCTTCTTCCATTCATGATTAGACTATTTTGTTGTAAATTTTGTCAGAACTTGTATCAAATATTTTTCTTTGTAAATGAGGAAGAGATATAAAAGAAAAAAGCTCACAAAATCAAATTATTATATATCAAATATTTGTAATTGGCTTCACATTATAATAAAAAATAATTTGAAAAATAAACTTGAATTTATGAATTAAGTATTCAAATAATGATAGAAATTTGAATAATATTAATCCATTTTTTAAGGATTAGAATTATTGGTTATTAAAAAAGGTTGTATATTTAAAGTAATTTCATAAATTTCTTTTTTTCTGTTTATAAATGAAATCCCTACTTAAGAAGTAATGTGTTTTCAACCTTGTGTACCTCGGTGTATTTGTGAGGTTAGCCGATTGGGTGGAAAATGTCACAACAGTCAGTCGAACAGTCAAAACAGTCGTGTGGGTGCAGAACGACTCACTGAGACAGGGTTACCATTTAAAACCGTTTAATAAACATAGAAATTTCCTTACAAATTCCTTGATTGACAAGGTAGCACACACAAAATGCGCGGATAAAGTCTGAATAGAGTTCGAAAAGGTCTATCTTTGTTACTTGTGGTTTGATGTGGACGGTGAACTACTCCATAGGCCCCGGGGCATTTATCACAGCTTACGGCGGCTTCTTATTGGACGAACCAACGAGTCTGTAGATTGCTAGGAGTCATCCAGAGAATAATGTTTCCACAAGGTCTGAAAGGTTCCTTTTTTGTTTTTCAAATATCTGGAGCATGCACGACCAAGAGAGGTGAAACTATGCATCCAAGATCCTAAAATGTCCTTGAAATGATGGTTTTATACTGTTTTCCCCCAAGTCACATCTCTATTGGTCTCTCACTGTCACCTGGTGACAATTCGAAACCTGATGGAGGGCGTGGGAGAGGTCAGCGTTGCGACTGAATATGATTCCTCTTTCATCGCTTTTCCTCGACTTTATTCCTTTCCCTTGTTTAACTGATTTACACAAAAATTTCATTGTTCGATTGAGACATCTAATCCTTTCCATTTGCATCTGAAAAGGAGATTTAAATTTCCAATCAATATCCTTCATTCAGACCCCTCAGTCGACCCTCATTTGGGTCCTCACATATTTGTATTTTTTGTCATAGTGAAGTGCTCTACTTGTGGCTCACTACCATATGTAATATAACATGCACTTTTATATTAGGAGTATCCCTGGTATACAAGGCACCTCTACTACTTTGTACCATATTTGGAACAAGAGCACTTCTTTTGATGATATCTATACTAATATTATAAAGAGGTAATGTTTGTAAGTAAGTTTGGATGTAGCGGGTAATCTCTGAAACTACTCATCCAATTTAAAAAATTCTTTCACCAATATTTAGAATGGAACTTTAGGTTGGACATAGGCTGTATATTATTCCATTAAACATTCATATAAATTAAAAGATATAATCTAGGTTAAGGCTTTTATGTCCAATAGATGGCGCTATGAGTATGACGTCCTAAGTTTGCTTTTCTGTGAGGCATTATGCTTTTCTGTGAAAATGAACTAAAGCAGATCATCTTCTATCTATCTATATAAATAAAAATGTAATGTTCGTTTGTTCCTACCAATTCCTTTGAAATTTTGACACAACGCTGCATTCGAATATGCATGTGTTTTTATATAATATACGTGTCGAAATTGCCCCCACTGAAGGGAGATGGTTAGGATTAAGGCTTGCTGTAAAGAACTCTGCTTCTATTTATACTATTTTAGATGCGGTTTTTTGCATTTTTGATTGTGTTTTAATAGGGTACATCAAGAGAATGTACACTAAGAAGAAATTTTTCAAAAAATTTCCCCCCCACGGGGGAAGTGTTATACATTTTGAGCCACAACAACGCATGGCAGGGTCTGCTAGTAAATTATATATGAAGTGAAGTGTACTGAATGCATTTATATTGACAAAAAAGAGAACAAAATTTATCATTATTTTATAGTATAAATGATGGTTTGTTATCAACAACCAAGCTTAATTTTCCCAGCAAAAATTTAATAAAATTAGCCTAATTGGCTAATTTTATTAAATTATTATCATAAATATAATCCAAAAATCCAGCATAGAAAAACTTTTTATTTTTAATTTTTATTATAAAGAATGTAAATAACTGTTTTTAGTGCAAGCCACAAGTGGTACATAACAGACAAAATTTGAAGAGTACAATAAGAAGCCACCATGTATCATACCTGGACAAAAAGAAAGTACCATCAAAATCAAATTCATATCATTTTTGTGCTCTAAAACCAATTTTAAATGCACATCATCTGACAAATAGCACATACATTTCAGAGAAAAGGCTAAGAAAAATTGTTCTGTTCCAAGCATTCCGATTTTGGAATTCGATTGTACTCTAACCTGATGCTTACCTTGAGTAAGGTCGAAAGCATTTGTTGGATGATTTATTAAACATTTTTTGTTATTGGATATAAAGGTTCTTCAAGGGTTGTTTATGTAGCAAACATGTTAAATATTTAAATATAATAATAATAATCATTTTTATTGATTGCAAATTTTAAAGGAACAGTTAAATATCATGTAGTAAAACCTATTCATTTTTATGAATAACAAAACAGATTTTTATGATGAACAAATAAATGCCATAGCAAATATAACTGTTAATGAACAGTTATCATTATAAATGGAGGGAAAAAAATTCTTATAAAATAGAAATGTGAGTTAGGTTCAATTAAAACTTAAAGTTTTACCGTTTAGAAAAGTTTGTTCAAAAATGTGCAAAAATTCAAGTTTGGTTTAAAACATTAATGCATATTATAATATTGAATTTATTCTGGTGATTTTATATTATCATCAGAGCTGCCTTAAATGGGCATGTGCTGCACAAGGGTGTCATCATCAAGATACACCAAAAGACATTCTTAACTAAGTGCCAGATTTAAGGTATGAAATGACAAAAACTGGAACAAAACATTATGTTGAAAAAGTAACATTGTGAGTTCCAATGGTCCAAGTATTAATGCCAGCATTATACAGATATATTTATATGGATTTCTAGTATTTGCAATCAAACATGTGCAAGGTTACAAGTTTCTCATTCAGTGATGAATAAACATTATATGGACAAGTATATAACAATATTGCCAGATATTTGTACCATCCAAACTGAATTCAAAGGAGTTTTGATGATGATCAAAAACAGGAATTCATGATATCTTTGCATCAATTCAGTTGATTGCAAAAATAGGACTTGCATGTAGATGCAAGATACCCTAGTGGCAGCATTAGTTATTGTATATTTAAATGTATGAATTAGAAGATCTTAAACATTCTGAAATATTTTAAAATTTGCATATAATATAGTTTATGGTACATAACTCAAAATTATAAATAAAATCTCTCATCAAATTATTTAAAAACAAATTTAATGTTTCCTTTCAGGTAAACTATATGATCTTAATTACTGATTTGAATTGCTCAATATTTCTGTATCCAAGTTAAACATTAGGAATGGAAAAAATAATCTTGAAATTATCTTGATTACTTAATCTAATCTTTATAAATAATTTGCAACTAAAATATTTATTTCAAAAAAATTAGTGATAACATAATTGCCCATTTTTTAACAGCATAAAATATCTTTGATGACAATTAAGACATTGCATCACAGATCAAGAATAATAAAAAGTTGGAATTAATTTTTATGTGCAATACATTCAAATAAAAATAAGTCTTGGAAACTCAATAATTTTTAAAATCTATTTTTATATTTACCTCCTTGCTTTGTAGGCCTTGTGGGATATTCCGATTGGTTTTGTATTAAATTAGGTGATGTCTTTGGTTTTAATGGTGATTTCAATGTAGTAGGCATTCTGTGTGTTCGATAATAATCTGCAGTCCTTCCTTGCTAATTGAAATTCAATAAAATTGTAAAATGTGAATTAAAAAAAATTTTCCTTTTTGTTAGTAGTTATAGTGAGTTATATCTAAAAGAAAATTTATTCATAAATATCATATTTAGATACAGTAAGAAATCATTATTGTAAAAATTTTATAATTTCAAATTTTTAGAAATGACGTCTTTCTTG